AGCGCAAATTGACCGTCTTTGGAAAGACAGCCTGATTACCCAAGTGCTGTTTAGTCAGGCGGTCAAAGTCGTTACCACTGTCCTGCTCATCGTGGCCTCGTGGAGCGACGGATAAGCACTAGTTGCATGACGTGGTCCGAGCCGGATGATCACCCTATGCGACTGGGCGTTTTGCGCGACTTTCCATCCATGAAATGCACCGCGTCTTCCCGCATAACACAAAATACGCACTTGCGTCGTATCTGACATCTTAGAGGGACATGCTAGATTCCTTCATTCCCGCCGTTGTCTGCGCAACACTCTTCTCGCTCTCTCTCCCCCTAATCATTATGCTGGTCAACATGAATATTCGAAACCGTTAATGGAATAACGGGTCGGGTCTTATGTGTGCAAGTCTGTTAACCCTGAATATTAAGTGCGTACTTGTGTGGCCTTCTCGAGTCGCCAAAAAGCTTTCATTAACGCGATCCCAACCATACGTGTGCACTGCAAATGCTGCTAAATCCCAATGAGCTGAAAGTTTTTTGTACGCAGAGTGGTGAAAGAGAGTTGCACAGAAAGCACTTCTAGACAGTGCCAGCTGTCAAAGAATATAAGAACATCATCTATACTTTTACCGAAGACACCGTTGACTCTCATATTTGTGACGATTGTTTGCATTCTCAGGCTTTCAACAGTAAAGTATTTAGTGTTTTTGCTTGTGGGTCTCTTTGGGACTTGTTTACGGCCAGCTTCTTAGGTCTGTAGTACGCCGTTTTTTTCAGGTATCGTGCGCGCCGTGAAGACCTTATAGAATTTGAGTTACGGGAATGTCATGTGTACGTTTAAATGCTGACATCCCAGTAAACATTTGATCCAGCTCCGCTTATGACATTCTTACTCCGAAAAAGTTGTTCAATAGTGTGCGCTGTTTCATCAGGACTTGACGCTCGATTCGTTATTTCTTTGACCGTGCCTTTTTCACGAGCTTTGCATGTTAACATTTATATCGTGTCCTATGCCATGCTTCGGCAAACCATGGCCTTCGCTGTCTGGTGTGCGCTGGCAGTTCTCTGGCAACTGATTCCCTGTCGGTGGATGCGTTTGCTCTCCCGTTAGGTAGACAGATCGTGTACATGGCTTCCCAGTGACTTGTGGCATCCTGCTCTTTCTGACCAGGCTTGAAGGGCTACCAACCGATGGATAAATTGGACTTTGCAGTCGGCCCAGTTTATGTGCTTATGTGAGGTAGCGGACTGGGGTCTGAGAGTCAGACTGAAATGGCTCCTGCATAATGTGGCCTCAGTGGTACTTCCACTCCGTGGGAACCGAGCCGGCACCCCTAGGGACAGCCGCGCCAGCCGTCGCCCTTGTTTTTTTGTTGGAGTCTATATCCTGGTCAGTGCATACTGCGTCGCCTCTCATCTTTGATCTTCTTGACTATGTCATGGCATCAAGTCTAGGTGGGGGAGCTGAGAGTGCGGTAGATGCTGTGCAAGTCCACCACCTCTATAAACTAGTTCACGTACAAGTCACCGTGACTGCTCTCACCATGTTGTGGAGCACACGGTGGACCTCATCGGTGACGACGGTCAAACTGTAATACCGTATCCTATTAATGCATCCTGCCGTTAGTCATGCATTTTTCGAAGCATAATCTACGATTTTGCGTGTTTTCTAAGTCCCTAATGCCATCGCTTGCACTGCTTCCTGGAGCCACTTTGTACTCATCCTCATATGGTTATGCAGAATCACCCCAAACCTTTTGAAATACTAATAAATCAGTGATGCCTAGCACACCTTGCAGATATGATCAAGAGGTTTATCAGTAACAAAATAATGCCCATCCGTCGCAAGCGATGAGGACAACCACTGTCCTAAGGACGCAGTGATGACGTGCACGTAAGTTGCGTTTTAAAAATGGACACCTCACCCACTAGTCCTAGTGACACATGGGATTAGGCACTTCCCCCCGCCCCCGCCAGTACAGGTGACCGTGCGCCTAATGCCTGGAAGGGTAACTGTTCTTGTGTCTTGATCCTAACTCTAACTCAAAAGTTAATCTTAACCTTACCCCTGAGGCACAGAATTTAGCACACGGCCACCTGTATTAGGGGGGGGGGGTGCCCATTCCGGTATCCCGCCTTGCTCCCATCACCACTCTACCTTCCAAACAGCAAGACAATGTCGAGAGGCCCAGAAACGAGCGTAAACGCAGTGACTGACTAGCCCGGATCTGCGGCCACACATGCTCTACGCGCCGATTCCTGTGGCTAAAAGAACAGAAAACTTTTGGACAGTTATGCCAACTTTTACAAATGATCCTTCTCTGGCAATTGAGATCACATGTATTTAATGTGCACGTTTCCTCACCTGGACACTGCGGGCCCATGCTCCTATCTTCACCAGGAGTACTGTCGTTGCCAAGGGCAACGTAAAATCTCATGAACGAGAGAGGTCCTTCATCAGTAAACTTCTGCCTCATCAGTGCGATCAAGGCTTTAGTTGTTGAATGACAGCACTGTAGAAAATGGAGACTTTTGAGCCGCCACTAACGACATTGAAAATATATCTCAGCAGCCAACGGGAAAAACGAACGAATTTACACATCTCTCGTTCACTGACTTCCTTTCGGCCCCACAAGGTGACTGAAACATCACATTCCTCTATAAGGTCGTTGCTTTCTTTGTCCTCACCGAGATCCGCCCAACACGTCCACTAGGTCGAGCTTCATCTGGCAGAAAGGCAGAAAACGTGTGGCGAGTTCATAGGGTCTGTGAAGAAAGTAACGAGTATCACTATCTAATAAGTACAATAGAGGCTTCTTCCCGCCTGGAACTGGGAAGTATTTACTCACCTCCTTCCGTTTCGGCAGTCACGAGTGGCAGCCCTCCACAGTGTTCGTGTGCTGCTGGCCTATTGCGTTTGCGGGCAGGCAGATCGTTTGTATTCTGTACGTCACAGGGCGTGACACCTCTGATCAACATGTTCGTCTCGGGCTGACGCCGATTGTGCTTACATTCCTAAGGCCCTGGCTGTTCTTTAATTTAGGAAATTTACTTACTCCCAAGAGTTTGCACGAGAGGACAATGTGTCACGCCGTCGTCAGCGCGTTTCACTTTCTGGACTTGTTACAGACTGCGACTAGGCAATGGACTTAACAACATTTCATGTCTGCTTTAGTGCTCCTTAATAGTGCCAACTACTGCATCGGGCGTGAAAAGAATCCATTTTTGCTGATGCTGAAAATCTCCCTGTTTAGTGGATGTATGAGACCATTCTTGCCATCTATAACCGCTGTCTGACTATTTGAGCTAAGACGTATCCACCCGCAGCCCCGAGACTTTAGGTACAAGTGGGGGCACCGTAGTTGACAGTTCATTAAATATCAAATGTGGCTGAGAGGATGAATTTCTCGTCAATTACAACTGTCCAAAATGGTAGAGTTTGAAAACGCTACACTTGTTAAAATACCTAATTCCGGACTCCCTTTAGCAGGAAGAAGATTCATCAACTACAGTAAAACAACAAGCATTCTGTGAACTTCACCGTCCCACTTGCTGTACGATGATTTTGTCGTGACACCGTGATGCATCCGCGTGGAATTCTTTGGTTGTGAAGAAAGCCGTCTACTGCCGTCCCAAAGGATGCCACGGTGACTTAAACTGGGAATGGATTACAGCAAGAGGCAGACTCGCCTTGCATCCACCTCACTCCCTCTTCTCGTAACCACGATGTTACAGTGGCAGGGCAGTCACGATGACCAGAAATGTGGGCGGGCGGAAGGGTTAATGCGGTTGAAGTCGCGTCTACGCGTAAAAAATCCCATGTTGATTCCCGATCCCACATGGCCAGGTGTTCAGAGCATGTAATTGGTGGCGATTTGTTATTTTGGCCCAATTGGGGAGGAGCCACTGCAACCTGACTCTCAGTCCACGGGAGGACCAAGTTATCCTATCAGTTGGCGGCCTTTTGACTCACGACTTTTTGCGCGCCGTGCTAGTTTACACCTGGCCAAACTGTTTTTGGTATGGAGGCCGGACACTGGAGCGAGCTTGCACTTGCAGTGACAACTCCGAATCAAACCGACTGTCTCAGGGACCTGGCTCGACGGCTGATGGCGCGTTAGGCCTGTCATCTCGCTGGATAGCAACCTATGTGTGCATCCATTTGCCGCAAGAAGGCTCCCAAAATTCTGGATATTTTTGAAACCAATTTATCTTGTATTTTCTGGAGTCGACCTAGAAGTGGTTGTTTTCTGTAATCATTTTTTAATCATTCGCTCAGGCAGGATCGAGGAACTTTAAAGGACACTTTCTGTTCCCAGGGTGATTGCCATGTATCCAGGCTGTCGCACCTCGGTAGTACGGTTATCACTGTGAAGCCAACATCCCGCGGTTTGCGAATTAGTCTGAGATTGTGTTCACTCCTTTGCAGTAACACCACCCCGCCTAGGTGCTCATTTTTCATTCGGAGTGCATTCAAGGCTTCCGGCCAGCGTTTTGTGGGTTCTCGTGCATGCTCCTCTTTCGGTCTCCCGGCCACATTTGTTTGAAGTTCTGACCCTGCAGTTTAAATATCCAATCTACTGAGCATTCAAGCTTGCAGTGTGTTGCTGACATCCGTGCAGCGATGAAATCTGAGAGAGGCCACCCTTACGCACTCACCATATTCGCCTGAGCGACACAAAGTCGTACCTTTTTCTTAATATTATTGATGTCGGTCCCTGCAAATAAGCATTCAAGTTCGTCTGACCGCTTATTGCCGAAGTCCACCCGTCGAATCCACATCGCCACGTACTTTTTGGTTTTTTAACTTCAAACTGACGCGAGGTAGCAGGAACTGATGGCTTATGCTTGCCCAAAGGACGCAGGGGATATGACATGTCTGCCAGAGTCCATAGTGATCAAAGGTACTGCGACAATGTCGACATTGAACTCTAACGACAGAGGATGACAAGTGCAGCGACAGAGCATGACAGGTGGCGAGGCACTCATGAACTTCGGTTCGATGAAGTGCTTATGACCCATCTGACAGGCCTCAGTGGTGGACCGACTGCGCCCGGTGCGTCTGTGCGCATGTTTGTGTTTCTGGTCCAAGCTGCTGGTGGTCAGGGTTATGATTGGCTGAAGAAAACAGAATAAGCCCGAAACAGTGCCGTATCAATCTACCCGCATTTTCTGTCGTCCCTCCTGGCTGCTATTATGACTCGGCCGACTTCGGCCTGGTAATTGGTTGCCTGTTCGTGATCTTTGCCACACATACGGAGCTTGTTTGCTTTGCGAAGCCAATAGATCTGTGTGCGCCCATTCCTGATTGAACTCTAGTGCCTAGGATAATGCTATTAGCAGATTTCGTGTTTAACCTTTGGCTTAGCATATAGGTACGCCCATCATAAAGTGGTACTTGCGTCATCTTTTGCTGCGTATAATTCATCACATCTACTAATGGCCACTCAGTGAAACCAACTCGGAGTCCCCTAACTCTCCACTTGAAGCTTCAGTTTAGCGGCTCTCCCCTCTGTTTTTAGAAGTCTGTTGGTTAGGGGTAAGTGTCTTAAGGCTCAATAGTTACGCTCCTCTGCGTGCCTCGACGATTCCTCGTGTAGATTCTCGGACATCGACTGCCGACCAGGTCTTATCACCTTTTTATTTAACTAGTAAATCGAAGCATCACTATTGACGCATTTTGCTTGCTCTCTTAGCTTGCTGTTCTAATGGCTGTGCTGAAGTGCTGGGGGGGTCAAGGTGTTTAATTTTCTTGTAAGAAAGACTGGTTAATTCATACAAAGGACTTCCCAGTTAAGTTCGTTTGCCTTGCATCTGCGTCTCCTAGCGAAATGTTGGAAACTGAGGCACTTATATGCGTGTCTGACCGACGGCAGCCTTGGTCTTTGAAAGTTTGATACCGACGCCGCGAATCAAGCCTATATCATACACACCAATCACGTACTGTTGCTTGCCCCTCAACCGCAGGCCTATTCAGATTGGTTCAAGTTAAGTGATCATTTTTCACTCCTTGGGGTGAGGTTGAGTGTACGAGCGCATGACACCAAGCCTTCACTTCATCCTATCCTCATCCAGGTTCTAGTGGTGCCTCGTCAACAGTTGCCATCGGGTCTTCCACTCCGCGTTCGGCTCGCAGCAGCAGTCGACAGACGGACGTCAGCACCGGTGGTAGGATTTCGGCTCGTCCCCTCTCTCAACACTCCCTGACCGGCTTCCCAAATCACAATACTGGGGTCCCCACTGGCCTCCAAGGAGAGCCGAACAGTAATGCTAGGCGGCGATCTCTGTCTCGCGGAGCCGCGACAGCAGTGGCAGTATCTGGTGAACATCCGGTAAGTGCACCCTTTCTCTCTTATCCTGACACTGTATACTTGTTCTCTCTCTCTCTCTCTCTCTCTCTCTCGCCAACTCATGCACATCCTGTCATGCCACAGACTGCTAAAGAGGAGATCGCGGATGTTGACTGAAATACGCAGCCTTCAAAGGAAATTTAATTCTTTCAACTGCCCATTTATCTCGCCTTCGTTAGGGAAATTTTAGAGCCTTGACTAGAAACTTGTGTGCAGGTAGGCTGTCCTGTAGGTCTGCCGTGGAGTGAACGGGGTGCCCGGATAGAGGAGTCGATTAGGCGCAGGAATATGCACCTCCCGTATTACGGTTGACTTTGCCCTAAATGCGGAGGGAGGGGGGATAAGGGTTGGGGTTGGTGCTAAAGCCAAGGTTTGGTGGCTTGGGATTAGGGTTAGTATTGGATTTACGAGGGCTGGGTTTTGGGTTGAGGTTAGAGCTTGGACGGTTTGCGTAAGTGTTAAGGTTAGGGCTGGATTTAAAGTCGGGAAGCTTGAATAAGAACACCTCAGGAATTTCGAGACCACCCCTAGTACTGGCAGATGGGAGGCCGAAGCCGTCGTGTCTGACTGGAGACTCTACTTAGTTGGACTGTAAATTCGCACCTAGTTCATTGTTGTAAGTTGAACTCCTAGGATCTGTAGCATATTTTGTCTCCTTGGCTTTCATCTTTTGTGTGGTAAAAAGTGATTTCCTTTCAAGCACCACCAGCATGCCTGCATATGCGCACTCAAGTAGTAAATAGGACTGCTTTATCGAAATTTGTTTTAATTCTTTTTTATTTGTGTAATCTCTGTCGTCGTCGTCGTCGTCGTCGTACGAGCAGAGAAGCGATTGTCCCCGTCACCACCTTTTGTCACTACGTTTGGTGGGGTTCTCCCCATAATTATCTTTTTCGAGTTGGTTTTGAATGAATTCCTATATCGTCGACATTTTTCCGGACGTGACTGGGTAGATTCGTTCCTTCCATACTTCCCTGTGTTCCTACAGAGATCTCCACGTGTCCTTTCTTCGACCCACTGTTCCATCAAATATGCTCTTTAATCAGATGTTGACATTTACTCGAAGGTTTACTACCGAGTTACACATATTACGTCACTCTAGCTTGTAAGTTTAGTGACTCCGGTGCTGTTGGTTCTCCGGGCTCTGTGAAGCAATCAGTGTGCCAAAGACATAGTCATTCATGCTTCCACTAGCGAACGGAAGGTCGGAAGTCTTCTACGACTGATGACTCGTGAAACTTAGCTTTCCTCTGCCTTTGCTGTGCTTACCGCTGTTCACTTTCCTTCGCTCAACCATGGACAGAGGTGCCGTTGGACAGAGCATAATTTACGGAGGGCATACGCAGGCAGAAGGGACTCGTTTATTGTCGTTAATGCGCGCCTGTAACCGAGACCGACAGACCTCGGCCTGGGTCTTTAGAGTTTACAAACTTTCCACTTCGATGTGGTTAGTGTTACTGTTGGAAATTATATTCTGTACTAGATTACACCCATCCAGCCACCTTGTAACATTTCATAATACAAACAATTTTACCATTATTTATGACGACATGGCGGGTAAACGAGGTTCCATGTCCTTCGGAGCAATGCTGAATCATTGGGCCTTCATTTAGTCACGCGAATAGTAAAACTATTTATAATTTTACGCAGCGATCTCCAGTTTCTGGGTGCGTTACGTGTGTTCCCATATTTTAAAGCTCTCAGGTGTTGTGGTATCCTTTAAACGCATCGTCAGACCACGACTTTGGCCCATACTGAATGCGGCCAGGTGTTTAACATCACTTATGGCGTAAAAAGAGCTCTGTCCTTGTGCACCACTGATGAAGGTGCATGCCGTCTAAATCGGTTTTTTCCCTTCGGTCGGTTGATTCTGTAGCTTTTGAAAGAACCTTCAATTAAAAAAACAACTATAGTCACCTGAAAAGGGGCATTACCCCATGCCTTTCCATATATCAGGAAATCAGATAGTCCACCCCCAGGTGTTCGTAAATACATATCGTTTTAACTGAAATTTCAGCCCCCCCATTCTTAACATACTTATGGAGCAAAGCTCCTAATACTGCGTATTTTGTGTACAGCAAAAGTCGACTTTTAACACCTGTCAGGTACCTTTCTGAGTTCTTTTTGTGGAAACATGTTTGCATCTGCTCTTCAGTTTCTGCCGAAGGAACGACGTGGCCTGCCACTAACCATGGATGGATCGCCGAGTTCTTTTTGCAGCTTTGTAGTCCTGTTTTTTACGGATCCCCAGTTAGGAGACTCTGAAACATTTTAACGCCTAGGGAAATTAGACTTCCCACCTATGTGCTTTCTGTGAAAAATGTCTGCTTGTCTCCGCTCAGGTGACGCTGGAAATGGCCAAGCCCGCACGTCCCCTGTCTACCGCCTCCGCTTCGACCGGCATTGCTTATGATGACCCGGGTGGCCACCTGGAGACTCCCAACGTCGCCAATGCGGACGAAGTTGTCCCGTCAAAATATGCAGCGACACCGTCATCATCAGCGTCACCGCCGCCGCCGCCGCCACCACCGTTAATGAATACCAGCCACCGCATGTTAGATAGTGCAGATCTTGATCAGACACTGGTCGCGGCAACTGGTCAGGTTTACTCGTCTGCCCCATCGCGACCCCGTGGGTTCCCTCGCATTCTTATTTCCTCTAATTATTGTGCGCTCACACCTTTCCTTTTTACGCGGGGAGAGGGAGAGGCTCTGTTACCAAATGATTTGGTTAATTGTTCAGGCATCTGATTATCGTCGTCGTGGTGGTGGTGGCTGGAGACCTGACATGAGAGCATGTTTTCCATTTTTTCGAGAAAGCACTCACCTTCTGTAAACTTTTCAGAATTGCGGGGCGCTTCTTTGCATTTTCAGGTCTTCTTCGGTACTTTGTCAAAAGAAAACTTTGTTTGGCACAGGACTATGGACCCCCGTAATTCCAGGGAGGTAAGGGTTAGTGCCAGAACTGAAAGGGTTAGGGTTAAAGTTAGGACACGGGAATACGTACCCCGCTGATATTTAGCGTTTGGCCGCCTGTGGTACGGGAGTCCACCTTTCCGTGTCCGACCATTACATTATTTGACGCCATTGGGTCTTGAAACTCGGATAGCCGCCTAGTAATACATCGGAAGCGCAAACTCTTGCTCGGTCATTATATCTTAAGGAGGCAGGTGGACTTCATTGTTGAGATCGCCCACAACGAAGCCAAAGCAGAGACGGCTCATTGCTGTGGTGTAGTCGTGATAGATCAGTCACAGACATTCCTTTATGACTTTTTTTAGTGTACCCTATCACAGTCGACAAACGATTAACTTGTGGCTCAAGTGGTGGACCCCTTGACTCAATCACCAAACGACTCGGATTCACATCCCAGGTGCTCACATGCAATGGAGTAGAGCTACTATGGGAAATGTGTCTGGGGTTTGGAGAATCAGTGAAGGCAGTGTGACCACTCTGCGATAAGTATCTTTCAGAAGATAAAACCAACTTTAACTAATTGCTAAAGTGCAATTCATCAAGGCGATAACTGCCAAATTTCGTGGGATTCTGGATGCCTACATACTGACACCCCAGTATGAGCTTTTCATTGGTGCTTCAGGCGCTGACGGACTCACAAAATAGGTAGGGGGCACTGGGGTTACAGAATTGGGTAAGACACAGGAATAGACACTCATTTCGCGTTAAATTACAGGTGGGTTAGGGTAAGGATTAAAGTTGAGACACGGGAATAGGTGTCCCCCTGGAATTTGGCTGGAGACCGCCTGTAGTGCGGGAGGCCACATTCCCGTGTCCGACCGAAAGCTCTTTACCAACCGTCTCGCGGGAAGCCATTGCAGTCGCGTAAGCCTCCTGTACTTTTACTTTGGAGGTCCTGTTTAGGACTACTCAGAGGTAGGGTTCATTTTCTGTCAGAACTTAAGTAATGTTACTTTGCGCGTAATGTTCTCTGACATATTCGACCACGTTACTCATTCCTTCGCATATTCTCACGGTTGTATTTTTTACTGTGTGAAATTTCGATTTCTGTCGCTTTGCGGAGACCTCCCCTCTTTCCGTCGGGGAATTGGTAGGAGATACTTTTGTCACTCTGATGCATACCCTCTGATATTATCGTGTCCACATGAGTCAACGGCTCACCTTCTTTGCAGCGCACTTCTTCCCCAAATACACTGGGTGACCGATCCCATAAAATGTCGGCTGAAATTCTGAAATGCGTTTTTGACTAGGAAGGATTACTGAGGCGCGGTTATGATACTGACTGTCTTGCGGAACAATCCTATAATATTTCGGACTTGGCAGGATGTCACCATTTGAATATGCTGTTTTTAAATCTCCTGTAGAAATCGTGTTCAGTAAAAAATGACTACTTAAGTAGCATGCATTTTCTCCACTGATTTTCGATGGTCTAGCAAATTCAAATATATTTTATAGAAATCACGGACAAAGGTATGCTTCTTTCAGTCGTTCGATAAAGAATCACGTCATATTTATGTTATATACTCGAAGAAGAAGTATAATTGGGTTTTAAAAAGTTTTCTAATTGCCGAATAATTTGGAACCCGACTAATCGTTGCATTAGCGCTTAGTGATGTAAGTCTACAAGGCGCATGCGCTCCGCGTAAAGATAATCGCGTATTCTTCTATGCCTTTTAAAAGGTATCATATAGAGTCCATAAATTTTGCAATAGATGCGGACTCTGTTGTACATTTCATGAGGAGCAGGGATAAACGGCCAGGTACGATGCTATATGAATGGACATTGCATGGTTTTAAAAAATCTCATAATTAGAAATTTTGTAAAACCTAATTATACTTCAATTTTGAGTGTAGAGTATAAAGATGACGTGATTCTCTGTCAAACGACTGAAAGAAAGCATATTTCGTTCGCGGTTTCTATAAAATATGCCTGAATTCGCAAGACCATCGAAAATCAATGTGAAAAATGCATTCTACTTAAGTAGCCATCTTTATCGAGTTCGGTTTCTACAATAGATTAAAAAGCATTGCATTCAAAAGCTGACATCCTGCCGAGTCCGAAATATGATAGGATTATGCCGCAAGTTAATCAGTATAACAACCGCGTCTAAGTAATCCTTCCTAATCGAAAACGCATTTCAGAACTTCGACCAACATTTCATGAGATCGGTCACGCACTGACTTGCAATATTAGTCCCCCCCTGTTGTCTTGCCTTTCCGGTGACTGGTGGGTCGACTTGATCGTTTGCTGGAATTAATTGCCGGTAATTTATATTTTTAGGATTCTCGGACAGTCGGTTGCCATCACATGATGAAGATGACATCGATGTTCGCGCGTCAAATGTTGCCTCCACTGCTGCCTGCCTTCTCTCTCAGCTGTCAGGCCAACTCCAGCAGCTGAATACGGCCGGCCTCTGCACCAGCAGTCAAATTCCAGCGGACGCGCCAGCCGATCCCGAGTTTGACCTTCCAGCGCCACCGTCACCCAAACAGCTTCATTACCTCTAGTCATTTTTTCGTCCGCATCAATTTTCCTTTGCCAAAATGCTCTGTCACCCTCATCCACAGTCATTAGGAAGTTTTATTATTTACTTTCGTCATCTGAACATGTGTGAGTGCACACGTCTGCGGAGATGTTTGGACCGCTTCCCTTCAGATCGCGTCCTCTCTTCTTCCCATTTAGGTGTTCACTGCTTTTTCGAACGTGAAATTTCGTCAGATCACTTACATTTTTCTTGGAGTTTTCGCATCTTCGGTCTAGATCACAGAAAAGCATAAGCGTTCAATCTCACCTCATCACACGTTGAGTTTTCAGATTGTCGTCGTTATCCACTACCCGTCCCCTTCCCTCATAACTGGACGACTCCATAAAAAGGTTTTTTTTCAACTAGATGCCCGGTTTCAGTCGGGACGTCGTGGAGTTTTTCTTTTGATAATACCTTAACTGGACTTTTGTCTCATCCATTTGACCGCTCGGACTCTTCCAACCACTTTTTCTAGCATTTTTAAAGTATATGCCTTTATCACCCTCATTTTTCAGTATTATTTTGGGCCGCGATGCTGATGCAAAGTTCCATATGTCGGTAGGACACGAAAATCTCCTATTACGAGCGGCCCTCCGCCAAATTTCAGGGAAATTAGTGCCCCTCCTGGAACTTCGTGCAAGGGCGAGGGGAGGGCAGTTCCTGTTCCCTTGTCTTATCCATATCTGGTTACTGGAATTCTAGAATCCATGACACAAGGTATTTGGGATCTTTAGGGGTTTTGTTAATAATCTTTTATGGGCATCTGACACCTTAGTTATCAGCCAGGACGTAACTTAATATGAGAATATTGCCAACAAGGGTGTGGTCGCTTCTGGTAGATGTTTCGTTGTCAATCAGCCGGTCGCGTGGTGATAGAAGAACGGATGGTCCTGTTTAACACCATCGGGGCTATAGGTTAGTTATCTTTCATGCTCTACTGGACCTGGGTCCCAATATCAACTTCCCTAAAACATGCGATTAGGGTATGACCAACGACAGTCGTGAAGGTAACTTTTCCTGTTTTGGGGTACTCGTTATTAAGCGACCGCTTGCGAAGAATGCGGACGGCGGTCCCATGAAAATGTGAAGTACTCCTAATTCGCTCCCACAATCGGAGCAGACGATGAACGCCGCTTTTGTAGAACGGTCGCCAACTACGACGTCCTATTGGCCACACTCCGTTGTGCAGCCCCCAGTGCTTCGATTAGTAGGTAGATAAAGTCGGTCGGAGTGCACCCTAGACCATGCTAAAAGCCTTTTTGATTAAAAACGTCAGCAGAATGCGGAGATTCTCAGAGGAAGCTTTTTATGTTGTACCATCGTTTTCCACAGGACAAGACTGGGTGAAGTAAAGTTGTTTTTTTGTAAGGAATACCTGAAAGGTGCAAAAACATAGATGGGAGGCCTATGCATCACAGTTTATGAACTGTGATAGTTTGACCGTCGAATCCGACGATGTTCACCGTTTGCTACACAGCAAGGTGAAGCAAGATTGCGACCAACCCCGCTAATGCTATTTCCGTGTGTCTGCTTAACCAACTGCAAATCGGACCACCAGTCGTGCGGGGCCCTGTTGGCCAGATTCATTATTAGAAAGTTCAGCAAGCCTGTTAGTTCATGTACTCCTTGGGATGATAACTGTCTTAGTTGTAACCCTCTACTTCTTGCCTCAATCTGTCGTTTTGCATTCCATCTTTTCATACTGCATGAATGCCTGCACAAACGCCCTTGCAGTGCCATTTTGTTCAGGAACGATATTCTTTCATAAACTTCACCCATCTGGACGGGACAACGGGCTACCATGACCCCCTGACTTTGACCGAACTTCATGTGGTACCGCAATGTTAGATAATAATAATAACACTAATAATAATATGACGGTACTACGAAAAATGACCATTTGAATTGTTTGCATACACAAGAGCGAATTTGTTTCCATTGACAAGAAGGACTTTTTGCACTGCATTCGTTTTTATATGCGAATATAGAAAGTTTGCTGGTTATTTGGATGACAGCCCATTCTACCCCTCCACATTAAATTACCTTTTACGTATTTTCCATTCCAAATGGTGACTTTTTTCAGGGTTTATCTTATCTTTGGTGGATTCCACATGCGCCGCTTCATATAAACTATCTGCAACATTTTAAATCACGTTACCCTAACGATTCACGAAGAACCCGAAAAAGGACTGACGATGTACAGTGCAGAGTCATTTTGTGTTCTTTTCGAGCCTTGCAGTTTTTGGCGGCCAACATCGTGGAGCATATTACGAAATGTTTCGTGGAACTGATTTTTTAGAATAATAACAATTGACTTTTGAGGTCGTCAGGTTGCCTTCTGAAAACTGTCTGATCCTGCTTGCAGTCGCACGTACAGCCGGCTTCGGAGAACTCTTTCCACAAATTTCCCTACTGAGGCAATTGTCTTGAATTTCTCTAGCCATGCAGTTATTAATAGTTACAATGCAGCAGAATTTAGGGTGCAATTGGCAATGCCTTGGATTCGAATATTATACTTTCCTTTTCTTCAAAATGCACTTTCTCTTGGTGTTACGACAATGACGCTTTTATTTATATTTATTTTTTGGCTACCTATTTCATGTGTTGAGGAGGAATCTGGATGATTTTGTTCAGCTGCACGGCGCGCCGGAACTAATAACTGTTTGCTTCAATCGCAGACTCCACAAAGCTGTGACGCAATTTTGCCGTCTTAAGTTATTGCTTTACTTATTCAGGTTGCCGCGGGTGGGAGGGAGGAAAACATTTTATTTTTACTTTATAATCCCAGAATTCCCATCAAAAGCGTCCTCAATTTACTGTGGCCAGAATAAAGGTTAATGGATTATGAGAAAGTAAATCCGTTTGCATATAACTGTATAATTACTATTGGAACAGCTTGGGTCTCCGATTCCTTACCTCGAGTTCTTTACACGCAAAATATTGTACTCGAAATGATAGTACGAAACGCTGATCCTTTGAGGTTTGACAAGGGATGTGCCGGAAGCTACGGCACATGGAGCGTCAAAAGATAAGAAAGACAAGAAATTTTGCAGTGGGTATTATACACGACAGCGCCTTCAAAGTGTCTCGGGATAGGCCTTTTAAGCGCATTATCTTCTGTGAGCGTAAGTCCATCCGCTCATTGTGATGAGAGGTATACTTTAGCGAGAAACGCGAGGCATCAGGTACTGAAATATTTTATCAGTTCTCTCGACGCTAGCCATTTAAAAAGCTAAAGGTTCTGTGTAGGCCGCCGGCAAGGTGGAACTAACTGCACACCGAGTCATTTCTCAACTTCCCAGCACCGAATAGCCAGGAACTGACTGTCGCACAAGTGTCCGCCAGGCGAAACCAACTTTTGTAAGCTGCTCTTGTGCAGCCTGCCCCCTGCTTATTTTCTTCCAAGCCTAATTCAAAATCCACGCGGTGTTCATTCCCTTCAGCATAACCTTTATCTAACTTAAATCTCAAATAATCGGTTTCCACTTACGACCCGCAGAGCAAGGGCTGTCCGTACGGGAAAAGTATTACCGACCTCGATGTTTGAACTTTTCTCATACCTGCCTTCGTCTGATTTTCATGGGTGCAAACTCCTATTTTCCTGTTTCAGAAGGGTTTCCAAACTTTTCTAAATTGTATCTGTGTCCTTCTATAATACAGTGTGCAAACAACAGAATGTGTCCCGTGACATTCAAAAACCTAGGAAACTACTTGGACATCAGTAAACGTCCTGCCTCCCCTTTCATCATTCTGATTTGAAATACATTTTTATTTGATAAAAGGCTTCCTCTACCTCAAATAAATTCAACAAACTGAAGTAACCGCTAGATGTATGCCACACTACCAATCAAATTTCTGTCACGGCATTTCACGAGTTAGGATGCCTGCTGTAGGTTTTGATTTTAAGATAGGCGCTGTTCTGAAGACGTTTCTGATCTCAGAACCGTTCATTCTCATTCACACCTTGGGTTTCCCCTTTCTCACCTTCAACCATAGGCCTGAAGCGAGACTTAGTAGTTTGTTTTAAATTTACTGGAAAGATGGAAAATAACCTACCGAAGTTAGAAATTATTTTTACATCGCAAGGTATACTCAATTCTCTTCGTTTTGCGCCATTGTTTTTGATTAATAGTGACTTCAGTCAGTGGTCTATGCAGTAAATCTGCACAGATGAAAAGATGGAACTTTAGAAATTTGAGAGCGCATAATATGCTAAAAAGGAGATGGAACACAAAAATGGCCTGCAGACGAAGGAGAGAGGGAAAGCATGAGAAGTAGTAAGCGTCAGAAAAAAAATAAAAAACATAAATGACTGAGCAAGAAGGGAGGAGGTGGGACGGCAGACAAGAGCAAGTGCCTGCGGGTTTAGCGAGTCGACTGTGCCATGGTTGTCCGAAAAGTACTCCGGCTTGGCGTAGTTGGTCGTGACCTCTCGATTTGCTGTGGTGCCATCTGTTTCGGAGGCTTTTCTGCAGGGAAATCCTTGATCACACGCATCTGTCGCACAGTCGACGCAGGGGGCATCTCGATGACAAAGTGGACTATAAGATCTCCCCTGGGAGTAGTCGCGGCCGTACCCGGTCTCACGGGCAGAGTTGGCAACCCAGCATTTGGAACGCGCACCGTCTGCCCTGAGTTTGTCAGCGGTTTCAGCTTTATAATGTGCTTCTCCTTGCGGAGCCCTACAACCTGTTGGCAAACAAGAGGATGTGGCGACATCGTTACTGACCACATAGGAGGCCTAAAAACTCGAGTTAATCACGGTCTAACGGTGATTACCTGGGGTTTCTCTAATGAGTCATTCAATCAGCCACTGGCTGGTCAATTTAAACACCCACGAAACGGTGGCTCTGCGGTACTTGCACCCAGTCAACCGAAATTCCGAAATGCGTTTTCGCTTCGAAAAGATTGATTTGGTGTGGTTTTAAAACTACTGATTATGCAAAATAATTCTACAATACTTCGGTTACCTTAGGATGTCAGCTTTTGAAAGAACGTCTTTTGACCGCATGTAAAAACTACACTCTAAAAATGACTACTTAAGTAGCATGAATTTCTCTTATTGATTTTCGGTGCCCTTAATAATATAATTATATTTCATGGAAAACATGCATAAGCATATTCATTTTTTCGCTCATTCGGTAGGAAATTACGTCTTCTTCCAAATGTATACTAGAAGGAAGGGTATGATTTGGTTTTAAAAAAGTTTCTTATTGATAGATTTTTGATATGCTGAAATGGCCGTTCATAAAACGTCGTCTCTGCATTTACCAATGTGGCTTGGAAAGTTAACAATATGGATCAAGTCAACTGCTAAATTTTATGAACCATATATTGTCTCCCTTTATTACCGTAGAGAAATGTGTGGTTTTCCGTACACGGAAAATATACGGCTTGTAGTTTGGAAACCCTGAATGCAAATGTAACGGCAGATCGGGTCCAAAATTACTCTGCAATTAGAAAAGTTTTTGAAAACCTAATTATACACTTCGTTCGAGTATAAACTTGAAAGAAGACATAATTTCCTACCAAATAAGCAAAAGAATGAATATTTTTGTAAAATATTATTGTAAAATTATACTGCACAATGATTAGTTTTAAAACCCTACTATATTAATCTCTTTGAAACGAAGACGCATTTCGGAATTTCTGTTGAGATTTCATGAGTTGGCCCACCTGCTGTAGGTCTCCCATACTCTTGTTTTAAGTTCTCTGAAAGTGAATGATCCGGCCGAAAACCAACCATGGTTTTGAAACTTATCGGAGATGAAGGAGTAGATGTCGTTAACGCGTGCGCCTCCACGCGCACGTCAGCCGTCTACGCCGCGGTTTCACCCTTTGGATCACAGCCTCAGACGAATACATCACGAAAGCATTCGCCCAGCCGCCCATTTGCAATCCTCCCTGCGCGAGTTAGGGGTTTGATCCGTGTGCCACCGTTGTTGTCTTTGCGCTCCCACATGCTGCCGCACTTTCGCGCGCACACTCTAATCGCTCTTATCTAGGAAAAACTCAAACATCCTGCATAATATAAACCTTGCTTGTAACCATTAGAGTCCATCCACTGCTCTGGCCGCTAAAATCGCCGCAGCCGATCTGGAAGGAGTATTTTTAGGGTGTACTCTGAATCATTTTGGCGTGCTCTATAAATTAACCTCTTTGTCTCCAAATAGCCTCAGGGCAAAAACGAGAGAGAGATCGTCTTATATAGGAAGATACACAATCGAAGAGTCCCTAAAGGGGGACTAAACACTTTAACACAACCAACTTGCTACGATTAATTGACTTCAAAGGACTGCATTGGTTGGGAGCAAGAGCAAGACAGTACTTGCCTTCACCTCACCTCCCAGAAGAGCCAGACGGAGGCCAATTGTGACTTGTGTGTGCAGGTGTGCACCCTCGCGCAGGAAGAGTGGGTGAGGATGATCTTGCACAATAAACACCACATCGGCTGGTATTTGTCCAGGCAGCTGGTTGCCCTCCTCCGTGAAACGAATTTTTGTCCCGACCTTAGTACCCGCGGGAATGTCGAAGGTAAGGAGACGCTCTTCAGTAGTTGAATGAGCTGGCCCTCTTCCCGAAGCGGAGGCCGGTCTCATTAGCTTCCGTCTTTGGATCTTCATCTTCTTGTGACACCCAACCAGCAGGTCTTCCAGGCTCACAAACACATAGTGTTCAACGTCACTTGCCTTCCGCAAGGGTTGCCGGCCACGAGCATCATTCATACTGCTTGACCTTCTGAATACGAAGGTGGACTGGAAGCCTTGCTGGCATAAGGCATGCGGTAGAATTTTACTTGTTGAAAAGTTATTTCATCAAAACAGACTCTTGCGTGCTATGCATATAATCGATTTTGTAGCTTACAAATTAACTATCTTGGCTGTCGGAGTTAGAGCAGCAGTTCTGGAATACTGAGGCGCACAGCGTACTTGCCTAAGGTATCTCAGCTGACTGGCGTAGATGATTTAAGGTGTCATCACAATGTTATGACAGCAAGCCCGCACTGTCTCCTTCAAGACAGCTGGTATACCTCAGGCGAAGGATAATTCGGAGACAGCAGTAGACTGACTGGACAGATGCCTGTTACACACGGGTTTGTGTAGCGACAAGGACATCACGACGGTTCTATTTGCGCTTTCAAAGACTTACAAAAACCCTACGAGCAGCATCGATATGGCTGACGATATTCTTCTTGCCTTATCCACTTTGCAACGAATTTGACTGAGACGCTTAATACTGTCCACTTCTTCGTGCTCGTAGTGGTTAACCCTAAGGACGTTACGTTGGAAGACACTCTGGTCCTGGCAGCGTTGATTTATACACCGTCTGGTTTAATGACCTCGTTCAATTGCGACACTACATTCTACAGATCGGTATCGTCAGTGCAATTCAGATCAATCAGGCAGCACCCAGATGCAAATTCGGATCCGTTAACGTCTCATACAACCCTTCAGGGAATCAAATAATTTAAGTACATAGCCAAATGGAGTAGGTGATAGGATACAATCTTGCAGCACGCCAGACCGAACGGACGGTTTGGCCCTCAGAGTCATGCAGTGGTACTCACGCCATCGCCGAATTTTGCGTCAGTTCTCGTCAATAAAGTTTCCCCTATCAGGAACCGAGTCAAGCATTGTAAATAGCCTATCAATTAATTGACGAATAAGTCAGAGGTTCTACATAGCAGGGAATCTTCAGCCGACTTGGCTGCTACTTTCCTGAACTGGAGGATACGCTTTGTGCTATCTAGGCGAACAACTGTAAGGCTTGAGGGCTTATCCAGTCATTGCGGCGTTGTCGACTGAATCGAAAACTCATCTCGGCTGCCTCACGTACTGAGATCTTTAATAATAATTTCGTTAGTGTCATCCATCGATTTGGATTGTACCGTAAAATCGGGTTTTACTTTCCGGCCACGGAAGAAGTGGCTGAATCCTCGTTTAACCATTCTGCTTTTATGTGAATTTGTGTGAATTCATAGGAAGATTCCACAAAATTTCTAGCTTTTGGGCAGGTAATCCATTTCTGAGTATAAACTGCGGGCCGATTCAAGTTATGCATGCCTAATGCCACCATGTTTCTAGTAGCTGACATAAACCTCAACTTTTTCTGACAGTACAAGTATAATGCTGGCAATTTGGATCCCTGAAACTGACCGACTTTTAGAATGTCTGTTGATCTCTGCATTCTAAAAGTGAAAACCCGACAGTTACTCGTTTTTATCGTTGCAATATGGGCCTCGCGTCTGACAACCAGCCTTTGTATCGAGGGAAATTTAGACATTGCAGGTCACTGGCACTTTAGCATCAACTCATACCCACACGAAATCGGAAACCGCTGTACAAATATCTGGTTCGTGTTCATGTGGCGATACGCACGTGCATGGCAGGAATAGATTTGGCTTCCCCCATGGTGCCCAAACCAATCTCTAACCGATCTTACTTTCCATTACCATTGGCGTGAGGAGCAGAGTGGGTCATGCGCCCCCTCCTCCCCCCAAGTCCTCTCCCCTACTAGTCAGTTCATGGGTTAGCCAGCCCTGCGTTCTCGTGACAGTGGTTCCCATGGGTTACAGTGGGCGAACCACCATAATTGGCCCTGAGCCGGCATGGGACTTTCGGGGTCACCCCTATGACAATGGGGTAAGGTTGAGGAGCGCAGATATCCGACCTAACCAATATAGAAATTTCTGCTAAGCGCCAGAAGCGAAAAAAGTTATCAAATGGCCTTCCGACGGTTTATATTAAATCCACAAGTCTTGATTGAAGACTGTGAGCCTCTTAAAATCGCTGGGTGAGAAGCTAACGGGGAGAGACAACGGGTAAACATTACTATCACCAGCAAGCGTCTCGATGAGATCTTAAGGCCGTTTGAGCTTCAGTGTGTTGTAAGGGCTGTGCGCGCACACGTAATACAATCGGGTCGCCTTTGGTCAAAATCCTACTAGTACATAGCTAGTACAGCTTCCTATCACGTTATTACTCATTCTAAAGTCTGTAATACTAATCAGCTAGTTAGTAGGTCCATTCTGCAAGCTACTTTGTAAGATTTCAAAATAGCAAAATCACCCTGTACGCGCCTGATAAAACAGAAACTTAAAGGCGACGAATTGAGCTAAGGTGGGCTTACACTGGAGGACATTCCAAAGAGATCCGAAAAGGGGTCGCTACCTCCAAAGAACATTCTGAAGGTTTTGAAGGGATTGAAGTCCGTCGCAAACGGCTTGAAAGTGGTTTTTCTGCTAGACGTGCCCCCACGCAGACCTTCTTCACCGAACTGGTCATAGATTCTCCTTCTTTCAGAGTCCGAAAGTACCTAAAAACATTAGGACTGATTCAGTTTTGACATCCTTCATGTGAGGTCAGTCAGCAACCCTGAACCTAATTGGATACCACACCGAGATTGACAAATAGAGGAGTGAATATATTATATGCGGAGGGCCGCCATCAGGTCGAGCATAGGATCGGAAGTAATAGGGACAAAAAACGGTAAGCCTGATTGCCCCAGTAGTATTCTCCGACAACATGGTCGTTGGTAGAACCACTTAGATGTGCGATCACTGCACCAAAAACCATACTAGCACATGACAACAGACCGTTGACATTAAAACATCCACCAGTCGTGATTCCAACCATTCGTGGTGCTTGTATGCGACCATGATCAGAATACTAGCCTTAAAAGTGCAGCGTGTCAGTACCGACCACGCAAAGCAGCCTGGATCACACTGGGTAGCCCTTCGAAAACAACGTTTGAATCGTTGTGTTTCTTAAATCGGATAAACCATCCCAAAAACAGCCGATCTTCAACTTCAACCAAATTTGAATGCGGTATCAAAGTTTGAAGTCCCGCACATACCTAGGCAGGGGCTTGAGTTGGCTACACACAAATGACAGACGGCCCCCATTCGTTAGGAGAAAAAGCAAGAAAATTCTGTAGGGTATAGGCTGAACGGTCTTCAACAAAGCGGGTCGTCGTTCTGACGCGGCCATAGTGAAGATACCTTTATTATGATTGCTATTGTAACCATCGTCCTCGAACAGTGCATGCTGTAGTACTTTCAGAACCGACCAGTCGTAATCTTATTGGGCATCCGGAATACAAGCGAATAAAAAACACAACGTCCTTTCTCTCTCGATTTGCTTTTCGAATGAATCCCCGTTGCCTCAGGTAGGGTTACGGTACATCGAGAAAGGACGAGAAACATACGAGTATTTAGCGTTCTCACTGATCGTCCCAGGTCACGCCCGATCGCGTGGAGCGCCATAGAGTCGACCTGTGACTTTCGAATCCGGTAGTCGTGCTACGCATTTGACCGCCGCACTCGACAAATGCTTATTACTGACGAGTAAGCATCGCGACTTCGAAGTATCAAATAAGTAAGCACCAGACTCCGATACTTGGGCGGTCTCCCGCTTTACTATCGGAGCACGTATGATGGGCTTGCCTTGCAATAACTAAAGGAAACACGTAATCTCCATTTGGCAATCACATATGCCTTATTACCCTCAAGTACAAAATAAAGCTCTTGACTCTGTATCTCGAATGTTGATCCAAATCGGCCCAAGTAACTGTCGGCCATCCTAGCAAGAAAATGGCAAACCTGAACATCGTCGTAGATATTTCTGTAAAGCGCCATCAGACGTTCGATGTCACTCACGGACTCGACTGATACTTACTTCGTATGCCTGTGAAATCTCCTTAAAGCGGGCCTCCGCTTGAGGATCGTCGTTCTTGTCGGGATGATACTGCAGAGCCAGTTTCTTGTAGGCTTTCCTTATGTCCTCGGTCGAGGCCCCAGGGGAGACTTCTAACAGGGCATAGAGATCAGCTCCCATCCCCGTCCCACGGGCTTTGCCTTAACCCCTTTCCTGCTCTGTACTTGTGTACACCACCATCAACTCGTTATCGATCGAGGACTTTTCAAACGCGTGCTAGACAGTCTCGTGACGTCAGCGTGGCGTCGTCGTGGCGTCAGCGTCTCATGGCCTTTAAATGATAGCAATTTCAAAAACAATGCGGTAAAACTATGCCGAGGTTCCACATCATCCGCAGATTAGGACGAGGACAAGTCCTGATTTGGAAATCGATATTGGGCTCAGAGCTGCTTGGTGGTGGTGTGAGGCAGACAGCCAGTTTTCAACGCAATGGACTGGTAGGCAACTTGGTAGCTGCTATTAACCTAGTGAAGTCTGACCACGAGAACGGAAGAAACCTGAACCAACCGTATAATTAATGATTGCAAGTAAATGTATATTTTTTACTGCTACCTTTGCGGTAAGTCCTGTCACAATCGCCCGGAGAGGTCCCGAAAGTCTCGGAGAAATACGTCATCTCATGCTACATGCAGTGTGATCAGAAACTCAAGAAATACCTTTTACAGTGCGTGGTGTATTTAAATGAGTGATAATAAGTAATTATGAGTTGTAATAGTGATATGTTGAGGCATTCTCTCACATCAATCTACGATGAGTTCTTTTGGATTACTTTTTAACTTCGCACAGCGATCATACTGTCTGGACTTTAAACAGAAGTTCTAAAGCAAGGCTGAACAGACATATCCGTTCCTACAAACTGACCCGTACAGCGCCACTTCCAAGCAACTATAAATGGTCTCCATTGCTCTTACCAAGACTTGGTTTTGCGACTCAAGTGTTTGCGTGTCTGACCTAAGTGCTCGATTAGCAACCGATACTGATTCAAGTGGCAAATCTTGCAGGCCTGGGGCTGGACATAGCTATCTGTTAACGGCAAATAGACCAAAAATGCTGCGTCATCCTCCCTCGTCTTTGTCGATTTTCCTTCTATACAAGTATGAAAGATAAAAAAGATTTAGCAAGCAGGCCAGGCTTAGTTGCCGTCGACAAACAGCTCCCGCGCATCCAGTAGACATTAATCACCAGGTCGCAGTTTCAATAAGGCCTTCCCCGCTCAGCGCACCTGACCGCATAATCGCAACAAACTACGAGGAACCCAATCTCCGTCCCCCAGATGACTTTAGCCTGGGTTTTGCTGATGCGATTAGCAACAATTTACTCTAGTAGACCAATCATTGGTGAAGACAGCTGATTTCGGCAGACTGCATGTGTACCTAGAAATAAGTAAAAATTTATGCATTTTCCCGTTGACCCGACTGTGAAAAACTGGGTGCCTCAATGATATTGGAACCCACGACAGCAAGGCGCAACTTTAGAACAGCCAACACTCTAACTGTCTGAGTTACGAGGCCGCACCGGACGACGCGTGTTTAATCACATTTCGGTTAAGTTTACCCGCCCAACCCACTGCAACGTCTGGTGTCCAACATATGTGATACAGTAAGCTGGCTGTCCAAACAGGACTTCCTAAGTAATACATATAGGATCCACCAGACGACTACCAGGCTCATGCAATGCTTCTGTTCACACTCCACACCTCTTTTTGCTAGTCTATCATCTGCCCACTTAATGCGAAACAACTGAAAGCTAATAGTGTTCTCAAAGTTCGTAGTCTGTAATCGGTCAGATTATTAGTAACTGAAAGCGTACATGTGGACTGCACTGCAATTTCGAATAAAATCACAATGAGAAACGATTTCGATAGTAGAACGCGATCCGAACGTCATTATATTAACCACCTTTGAGTATTTTTGTCCTCCAGGAATGAACTCGGGCACTTTGTGTGTTTGAATACATACTGCAAAACTCGGGTGCCGAACGGAGTGACGGTAGACTAAAGTAGGCACTACGACTGTTCATCAGGAATAGAGCAGACATGGACGATTGAGTTTTGTACTTGATCTGCGGGTCTGGAGCTCCCTAAGGCGTTCGGGCAGTGACAAGCAGTCAGTAGAGAAATATAATTAGCAAAAACTGAGGGATACCGAAAGAGCCATTCCCTACCCCTTTACAGCCATGAGTTAAGTGTGCTCTAACTCCGAAACTGTAGGCCCCAATATTTTGACCTGAATCGGTCGGTCATCAAACATTCGCGTCAGGCACTTTAACGCCTAATCCATGGGCTAACGTCCTGTCGATATCAATTTAGAATATTTGCAGCCAAGAGGTAGTATTCACAAAGCATCTGAATTTTTAGACGGAAATAAGTATCACATCTTGGAGCAGCGGAATCACAAACCTGATTATGAACTTTGGAAGACAAAAAACTTGTAATTAAACTTTTGATTCACATTTGGGATGAATTCGTCAGGAAACGTGGTTCGTTTGGGCATAATGCGTGAATTTGTTTGTTCATGAGTCGATTAGCGGTCGGGCTCGATAACTGTCGCCAAGTGGTATCAAGTAAAGAGTGCTTATTGGACGCTGTCTGCGCTGAAGCCACGTGGGGTGGTGGAATTCAGCAAGCTAACCAAAAAAGCTAAGTCATGCATCGAAAGAATATTGCCTATCGCCGAGTTAGACCGCAATAGTACGAATTACGAAGGGTCAAATTATTGTAATTCCTTTTTAATACTATCCCCAAAGCATATCTTGAGATCAATCTCAAGCCCTAACAGCGTCTTTCATAAGGTATCTGGAGGCACTTGCCACATTTCCTTCTCCACGGATTATCTTTTCTCCGGTTTTGAAAAATAAGAGTACAGTGATTTCACGACTGCGATTTTCGAATCACTGATATCCATGGGGCGTTGATGACTGCAATAAGAGGTGCCCCCCCTCACAATGTGCAACTAAAGAGAACCAAAGAGATGGATTCGCAAACCTTTGTTTGCGAATTCAAAATGCACCTCTTTAAAAAGGCAGTCTGGTTGGGGTTGAGTAGGACAGGTAGGTGAATGCGTGTCAGAAGGATATTGTATTTCAAAAAAGCACTCTTAAAGCATCAGCAGTTTCAAAGTTAGTTTGTTGCATATACAAGTGTTGTAGTATGGATAAGACAGTGACATTCACTGAAATCTGTGTGAGGGGCTTATGGTCGGCTGGTTTACTGTTCGTCCACTTTCAAAGAAAGGGAAATGCTGAGACTCAAAAGAAGGAGGTGGGAATCTTCTGGCGACCGACTTCAGAGTGCGGAAGCATGGACCTTGGGCCTACAGTCCACACTCACTCAGGATAGATCGATGAACAAAGTCGACGGGGAAGTGGGCATCGTGTAGAAAAATATTTACGAAGGGTTGATAAAGCTGGGGACGTATAAATAGGTATACACATATATATATATTTCCAGTTGTCTGACGCCCTTGTTGGTCATAGCCAATCTGGATCCGAAAATGGAGCTTGATGGAAGGCAGCAACTGTTCTGAACGAAATGCTCGGATTTGTAGTGTTCATACTGAGCTAAGTAACTTGAGGGACGAGGACAAGTGAAGGAGAAAAAGGAAAGTGGGAATCGGACGGAATTTCTCCGAAAATTTGTGAATCAAGGAGCAAGGCGTTTGCACGCACACAGAGGTTAATAGAAAATACCCTTCTCTGATTTTTTGATATACGCAAGCATGAGCAGTTGAGAAAGGCCAGATCAAGACAATGTCATGGTGTGACCATCGGTCACCGTTGAAAGCCCGAAATTTCGAATGTAGCCATGAGAAGGGTATCCACCGAATCTCTTCTGAAAGGACGTTTGTGCGTGAGCTCGGAAAGGGAGCAGGCCGAAAGGTCACAGGAGAGCTTCTGCCCTGTTCTACTTTCTGGGTTTCCGAAGGACGTTTTCGAGCTGGCGGATTTCGGATTCGGTTATTCTAGCATTGAGAGTTCTGCTGCCTAAAAAGTAAAAGAGTATGCCCGTACGTAAACTGGCGGAGTCCACATGCAGCCGCGCGCACGACCTGGCTCTTTGCTCAAGGGTTGACCGTAGTGCGCAAAAAAGCCGCCAGTCAGCATGCAGCAAGATAAATCAATCGCTTTAAACGGGATGTGGCATGTTGACAATTATCATGTGGTAGAAGGGCAAGGGGAGCGTGGTTAGAAGAATTAAAACTGTATGATAATGACGAAACTACTATGATCAGGATAGGGCTGGGTCATCGGAGTACGTAGTAATCCGAAGAAAATCAGGGATTATAATTTACACATTAAGGAAATGATGAACAGTTCTAGACAGGTCTGCACACTCTGAAAAAGATCAGTAGCGGGATGTATATACTGACGTTGTGATGAGACGGATTTGTCTGTAAGCTGGCAATAATACGTCAACGATCGAGGAATCGACTATATTCTGAAGGGCTCAGTATATCTGTCTGACAAGGTAGGTATGGCACTCGTGGCCAGCTACCTAGGGGGTAAAGACAAAGTCTGGCGTGCACAAGACAGGTTCAGTTCGTCGTAACTCGTCTTACCTATAAAAAAACGACGTTGGGCGCCAAGGCGGTGCTACCTTTAGGTACGGCTATAGCACACTCAAAGGCATTAGAGGAAGCAGGTAGTCAGAAGACGTAGCCTGAAATGAACTTATTGAAGGGTTTCAACAACAGTAAACTGTTGAGTGGCCTTTCCATAAACTGAATAAATGTCTCAGTTGTGTACAAGCAAGGCAACAAACGCAGAGAAGCCGGATGGAAGTAGACATAGGAGATGTCGAGAAGACAGACCGCGCGTAGTTCACATCTGTCCTGCCCTCCCATGAGCTGAGTGAGAAGCCTGGAAAGTAGGCCATGTCGACAGCGGCAGTCGGCCCCATCGGCTGCATGGACACACTGCCCATAGCAGCAGCAACAGCATCAGCAACAGTCGCAGAGCCATGAAAGTTTTGCATGACGATTGGAATTACTCAGGATATCAGTGACATCAGTGTGTTGCAGAAATTCGGACAAATAAACCAACTGTGACCGCGATCACCTCCGACTCACTTTTCCATTAGGGAGGATTACTTAGGCGAGATTGCGATACTGATTATCATACGG